AATATATTTTATGCCTTTTGAATATAATAATAAAAACAAGACTTCTATATTAAACACATTTAAAATTTTTCTACTAATTAATTTTACTGTACTTAACAAAAGTATTAATCTACAGTTTGGGGGCATTAAAAAAGTGGTGACTCCTCACTGACATTTTGAGAAGAGCTGATCTAGAGGTCTTTCTCTACATGTGTCTTCATATATGCACATCCACATTCGTGATTCTGCAGCCAACTGAGCTAGAATTATTGTTCTGTGAATTCTGACTCATTCATGGTGTGTCCTCCCAAGTTTAGACTTGGAGATAAAACAGTAAAAGCCAATCTGAATATATAGTCACACCATATTCTTGAATCCAACACTAGCAAAAATAAAACTCACATTTCTATATCCATCTGACTCCTATGCTTATCTCTCAACTAGGTTGCAAAAGGAAGTAGCAAATGTATGACTGATTTAATTTTCAAATACCGATTATAGCATCAAGCTACAGGACAGTTCCTCATTTGCTGATACTCCAATCAGTCCCCTACATCCACTGAAGACTAGTTTATGAGCTCCCGTATTTCTCACTGCACAACCCCTACAGCCCCTGAGCAGTGCATCACCACTAGGGATGATGCCTCCATTAATTTACACTTGCAGATCTTTGGAACACACGGCTTCCCATGTAGGCTCAGCCCATCCCTTCTGTCAGGCACATCCAATTCCCGTTATCCTTGAGGTTCACCTTCTTTTTGTTCTTTAAGGCAATCACAGAAATGAACTCTCCTTTAAGACAGTTACAGAAATCTTCCAGGAAGCTGTCTTTGACTCCAGTTAACTGAATTTGCTTCTTTATGCTTCCCTAGCACTTTAACCTAATCATTGCGGTACCTTGTGATACATAAGATTATCTGAGTAAATTGCCTGTTTATGTGATTTACTCCTTTTACTAAATTATAAGCTTCTTGATTTTAGCAGGTTGTGTACTTGCTCAGTGTCTCTACTCCCAGTTTATATGTATTTCCTTTCACATAACATGTACTTTGTGAATGCTATTGAAAATATGACATCAACCATTTGTAAATTTATTTAATAATCTAAGTTATTAAAGGTGTCAGGGACCCATTTATCAATTCCTACTATTTGTGGAGTGGTCTTCCTTGGTAGCTCAGCCATAAAGAATCTGCCTACCAATACAGGAACTGTGGGTTTGATCCCTGGGTCAGGAAGATCCCCTGGAGGAGGGCATGGTAACTCACTCCAGTATTCTTGCCTGGAAAATCCCACGGACAAGGAGTTTTGGTGGTCTACAGTCCACGGGGTCGCAAAAGAGTCGGATATAGCCTAGCAACTAAACAATTTGTAGAGTCCAGTTCTAAATTCTGAGTGTAGGAAGACAAAATAACTAATGACTCTATTGGTAATGTCATTTAAAAATATTTTTATTGGAGTATAGTTGCATTACAATGTTGTGCTAGTTTCAGATATCTTTAATATAAGAGATGGGAATTTGCAAAAAGGAATAGATATAGGGCAAGGCGACTTACGTGTGAGACAGTCGCTGATGATTTTTGTATAATTATTCTTTTTTCATTAAAACCAGAACATGTAATTTCATTCATGGTCTGACATGGAATAGAATATTCATAATGAACCTCACCATAAAGAGACATTAGCAGCTAGGACAGTACATTTAAACTTAAAGGAAGAGCAAATCAGGGTTTACCAGTTTTCTCCTCTTATAAACAGTAAAGGGAAGGATTTTAAATAACAATGATGAGGTTTGGGTTTGAATAGGATGAGTCTGACATGAGAATGTTAGTGGTAATTAGTGAAAATACTAACATAAAAGCTAACATTAGAATGATATTTTACAATCTGCAAAGCACACACACTTACATTTTGCTTTTAATATTGGTATTGACCCTATGAGGTAAGAAAGCACTGAAATTTAATCAGAAAGATTACACATGAAAACTAAGATACAGAGTTATCAGCAAAGAGGCCATAAAGTCATAGAAATAAACTCTCCTGAGAAGGCTAGAAAAGTTATAATAGATAACTAGCCCAAAGATAGAGGGCTGGAGAAGGAAACGGAGACAGTCACTTCCTTTGTTGTTTTTTCTAGGTCATTAAGCTTCCAAGGGAGCCATTCGTGCATGTCAGTGAATAACCACAGATTCCAGTTCCTACCAGGATGAAAGAAGTATGTATTTTTACATAATCCCAGCTCAGTCTCTATTTATTTTGTTTTCCATCAGTAAACTTTTTAAAATATCATCTCTTGGAAAAATCCATGTTCTCAGTGAGATGTAAATAACCAGAAGAATAAGAGATCATCTCTTCTGATATCCAACAGCATTTTTAGCAAGCTGGCACAAAAATACAGAATACTCACTCAGTCAACTGTGGCTTAATTGAAGACAAATACAGTTCACAAAAACAATAATGGGCTTCCCAGGCAGCTCAGTGGTGAAGAATCTGCCTGATAATGTAGGAGACCAGGGCTTAATCCCGAGAGAAAGAAATGGCAACCCACTCCAGTATTCTTGCCTGGGAAGTCCCATGAACAAAAGAACCTGACAGGGCTCCAGTCCATGGGGTCTCAAAGAGTCGAACACAACTTGGCATACAAAAACAACAAAAATCGGCTCTGATTCTCCTAGATAATTTTTTTTTTACCTTCCTCTGGAGTCTGCTTTCACATGAGTAAGGTTATGTTATGTTCAGTGGGACTATCAGTAGGACTTAGCAGATTCTTTTCTAGCTCCATATTTATGACTCCCTTGCCATGTGCCTTGGAAAAGTCATTTTCACTCTAAGAGCTTCAGTTTCCTCTTCTAAAAATGAGGTCTGGATGATTCCAGTCCCCCAGGATATGGTCCTGCCCCTAATTCCTCACCTCATATCCCACCTCACTCTGCTGTGACCACACAGACCTTGTTTTTGGCCTCAGCTCATGTCAAGCTGTTTTCAGCCCCAGGGCCTTTGCATGTCTTTGCATGTTCTGTTCTCTCTGCCATTGTCATTCTCATCAAGTTTTAGTCCATCATTGTATTCATTTTGTTTTTCTATTGATTATATTACTATTTGAAAGTAACACATTTATTTTCTTGCTCCTTATTTGTTACTCTCCCTGGAAAATAAGCTCCAGAGAAGCAAAGCAGAGCCTCTTCCATATTATTAATCCTGAATGCTTAGGACAAAACTTGAACTATATTAAGTACTACATAAGCAATTCCTGGTTGAATGCTGCTGCTAAGTCGCTTCAGTCGTGTCCGACCTTGTGCGACCCCATAGACAGAAGCCCACCAGGCTCCTCTGTCCCTGGGATTCTCCTGGTTGAATAGACAATTTTCAAAAAAAACAGATGGACAGAACTCCACATCTTTCTTTGATTACAACATGTACCTTCTCAATTCTAATACTTATGACATTTGGGTCCATCTTACCTTGAATGTATTACTTTACTGTAGTTTTCCTATTCTCATCCAGACACCTCACCAAAGAAATGTATTTTGCTATTGAGTCTTTTAATCAAGAAAATAGACTTTGTAGATAAGAACTCCACAAGTCTTCCAGCCAATGTTGTTGTTTTTTTGTTTTGTTTTACTTTCATACTGGCTTGAGTTCTCACCTATGTATTGTAAGAATGTTGTAGGAAGTCCAGCCCTCTTCTCAGATCTCCAGTTATTCTAGGGAGTCAATTTTCCTGAGCACTATTTCTGAAGTTCATTTTATTAGTATGTCTTGGAACCTAAAAGCTACTCTCCCTTCCCAAAAACCATGGCAATGATAAGTATTTTCTCTTATTCCTATTATAACAATGTTGATAGAACTCATTATTTATAACAGACTTGTACTGGAAGGTCTTTGGTATCTAAGGATTGGACATTTAAAGTGAACTACATAAACATAACATGGACAATAATTAGAATTTTATTATTAAAAATGTCCTAAATCCATCTAATAACCCCCTAAGCAAAAAAGTTCAAGTTTATATTTTCAGTTTTAATCTCTTTTCTTCAGAGTCTTTGTTCCATTTCACATATTTTTCTCTCTCCATAACTACAAATTTCAATTTCTAAATCGTTATTGCTATTTTCTATTTAGACTAACTCAGCACTCTGCTTTCCCCTCCTTCTTCCAGATTGTATCTTGTGCAATTTCATATTCCAAAAACAATCAGGTCATTAAGGAGTATTTTAATACATAAAAATCTTTCTTTCATATAAATCATGACATATTCATAAAACACAAAATCTGCTCTTACTTTAAATAGCATTTACCTTTTAAAAAATTATTACACATTAATATACATTAAAAACTTCTCTTAACTTTTCCATTGCACAGTGGAACATTATAATGTACACTTTATAGAAAACAAAACGGTGACCTTCTCTCTGATCTGCTTGGTCTTGGCACCATAAACAATGGGGTTGAGGGCAGGTGGGATAACAATGTAGAGGTTGGCAAACATGATGTGGAAAGTGCGGGAGACACTGTGTCCAAAGCGGTGGGCAAGGATGGAGAAAAAGGCAGGTGTATAAAACATGAGGATGACACAGACATGGGAACCACAGGTGCCCAGGGCCTTCTGGCGGGCTTCTTGGGAGGGGAGGCGGAAGACAGCACAGAGGATGTGTGTGTAAGAAACAGCAATGAGGATCACATCTGAGATGACTGTCATGATGGGAACACAAAAGCCATACCAGATGTTGATGGAGATGTCCGCACAGGCGAGCCGGGCAACACCTATGTGCTCACAGTATGTGTGTGGTATGATGCGTGTCCTACAGAAAGGCAGTCTTGTAAGCAAGAATACAACTGGAAGGATGATGCAGAAACTACGAAAGGAGATTCCCACCACAATCTTGATGATGGTCTTGGGGGTCAAGATAGTGTTGTATCTCAAGGGAGAACAGATGGCCACATAGCGGTCAAATGCCATGGCCATCAGGATGGCTGAATCCAGGACAAAGCTGTAGTGGAGGAAGAACATTTGTGTGAGGCACCCTGGGAATGTGATTTCTCGAGCCCCAAGCCAAAAGATACTGAGTGTTTTAGGAACACCAGCTGTGGACAAGGTGAGGTCAGTCATGGCCAGCATGGAGAGAAAGAAGAACATGGGTTTGTGAAGGCTGCGCTCCACCAAGATTAGGTAGAGAAGGATGCAGTTTCCCACAATGGCTACAATATAGATGATACAGAAGGGAATCCCAATCCACACATGGGCATGCTCCAGGCCTGGGATCCCCACCAGAATGAAGGGTCCTAGGTTGTCACTGCTCAGGTTGAAAAGGACCATAGCAGACCAGGATGGCACAAGTCCCAGGTCCTGAGGACAGAGAGTGATAAATGTTAGGCTCACTTGAGTCACTCTCACTTCCAACAGCTCATTATATATACCCCCAAATAAAGTGGCTGTCTAATTATAATTCAAAGTGAGACACTTTTGTATGAAGAAAGATTGTTATGAAGATAGCTGGTAACAGCAGGAGCCAGGTTGTCTCATATATGTTGGAAAGTACAGTCATTCCCTTAAAGAGTTTATCTTATTCACTCTGGTTGCCTCTGATGCTTCACACAGCTTTTCCAAGCAGTGTTCCATACTGACATGAATCACTTTTTATCCACAGTATACTGTTGTTACAAACTACCAATTTCCAGGGCATATTTTTCTGTGGGTTGGTGGATTATAGCACACATGATATTATGGACATCGGTAGTTAATATTGGCTTCCTCTGTCACTGTTGAATATCAGTTTCTGCCCCCAGCAATTATTCACTCTTTTTCAACTTCATGATGACTGTTGTTCTTCCATTTGTGAGGTCCATACACTTTTCTGCCATTCAAAAACCTAATTCAGTTTAGCCAATACAGCCTGAGTCCCACACTATGCTGGTAAACAGGTATAACTTAAATTTAAATTTTGCTCCTCCAAAAATACTTTTTTCCAGCACTCTGTAAACTATACAATTGTATAATATCCTAATGCTTAGGACTTAATAACAATTTTGGTCAAGATTTCTGTCCAAAAGTACAATTATTTCTTTGCAAATACATATTCTATTAGATAGACACATAGGCTCTAGGACATTTACTCTTAGATACACACACACTTATTAGTTCATAAAATCTCAAGCCTCCCTTGATCCATACTTGCATTCTTTCATACATTTTACCATCATATTTTTACCCACACGCAATCTTACACAATAGGGGCATTGGTGGTACAGAGGTAGAATTCTCGCCTCCCATGCGGGAGACCCGGTTGATTTCCAGCCAAAGCATCATGGTTGTGTTTGGTTTGGGCTTCATTGGTGGTTCAGACAGTAAAGAATCCACCGGCAGTGTGGGAGACCTGGGGTTAAGCCAAGGTCGGGAAGATCCCCTGGAGAAGGGCATGGCAACCCACACCAGTATTCTTGCCTGGAGAATCCCCATGGACAGAAGAGCTTGGTGGGCTACAGGCCATGGGGTCACAAAGAGTCAGACAGGACTGAGAGAGTGAGCACAATCTTACACAAACCCCCTTTTTGCTCTCACACATGAAGGTGCACTTAATACACACTTACACTAAGAAAAACACGAAGTATTTCATGACAGAATTGTCTCATTGCCATTTTCTTTGTAATTTCCCAAAATAGTTACTCTTGAATTAATTTTTTAAAGACTAAGTCCTCAAAAATTTGCCATTTGCAGCAACATAAATGGACTTGGAGGGTGTTAAGCTAGATGAAATAATTCAGATAGAGACAATCCTGTAGGATATGTTATATGTGGAATATTAAAAAAAAGAAAAGAAAAAACGAACAAACTACTGAATATAACAAAAAAGAAGCTAGCTCACAGATATAGAGATTTCACTAGTGATTACCAGGGGGAAGGGGTAAGCGGCAATACAGTGGTCAGGGAGTAGGGGGTACAAATTATTGTGTGTAAGAGGCTACAAGGATATATTGTACTACAGGGGGAATACAGTCAATATTTTGTAATGACTGTAAATGAAGTGAAACCTTTGAAAATTGTATTAAAAAATGATTCACTTCCCAGGTGGGAATAAGATCAAGAGAGGGGTGGCAGCAATAGACTCTCAAACCAAGAATGTCCACATACTTAAGCCCACTTGTCAAGCTCGGGCTATGGGTCCTTGTCACACATCTAACAGAAATGACCAAAACAACACTTACCTTGGCCATCCTTAACCCAGCTGTTTATCTTTCTAATCATTTGAAGCATGTATCCAAGTACAGGAGACCATAAATTCAGCTTAAAAATCTGAGTTGTTCGGGAAAAAAATTTGTAGCACTCAGTCCATGGCTCCTAGAAAATGGAGCCTTGAGTTTTTCATTCACTCTCACTTTCTCTGAAAATCATATTTACAACCAAACCTCTTCAAATAACCATCACTCACCTAGTTTGGTTACTGGGCCAAATGCAGAGCAGAAAGATTATGGTGATAGACACGCAAAAAATCTGCAAGAGGACCAGACATATAAACCCAAGAAAAAAGAGGAGATGGAATAAAAAGACTGACAGGTTGATTCCCTGTTCTTGTCCCTCCCCCACCCCCCGGCCATTATTCAATGCCAAGAAGCGGTAAATAATTAGGGCCTGAGGGACTCTAACACCCTCTCTTTTTATCCTCAAGAGAAGACTATAAAGAAGATTACACTAACCCTGATGTGGCTAGTGAGCTAACACAACCTCAGGGTAAATATAATTTTTTTCTGGGTATTTAATACTCTATTTATTTTTACATCATAATTAGGCATTAAAAAAGGCATAGGACTACAGAGCTAGAATTACATAATATGCCTATCTAATTATAAAGCTTACATATAATTATTAAATTTTATATTCTGATAAGTTATCATAAAGTATGCTTTGTCCTACTGGCACTTTTCTTCTTTTAATTTATTTTTTGTATTGAAGGATACTTGCTTTACAGAATTTTGTTGTTCTCTGTCAAACCACAACACGAATCAGCCATAGGTGCACATTTAGCCCCTCCCTTCGGAACCTCCCTCCCATTTCCCTCCCCATCCCACCCCTCTACAGAGCCACTGTTTGAGTTTCCTGAGCCATACAGCAAATTCCCATTGGCTATCTATTTTACATATGGTAATGGAAGCTTCTGTGTTACTCTTTACACACATCTCACCCTCTCCTCCTCTCTCTCTGTGTCCATAAGCCTATTCTCCATGTCTGCATCTCCGTTGTTCCCCTGTAAATAAATTCTTTGGTACTATTTTTCTAGATTCCGTATATATGTTAGAATAAAATATTTATCTTTCTCTTTCTGACTCATGTTGCTCTGTATAATAGGTTCTAGTTTCATCTACCTCATCAGAACTGACTCAAATGTGTTCCTTTTTAAGGCTGAGTAATATTCCACTGTGTATGTAAAATGCTGCACTCAATATGCCAGCAAATTTGGAAAACTCAGCAGTGACCACAGGACTGGAAAAGGTCAGTTTTCATTCCAATCCCAAGAAAGGCATTGCCAAAGAATGCTCTAACTACCACACAGTTGCACTCATCTCACAGGCTAATGCTGTAAGGCTCAAAATTTTCTGAGCCAGGCTTAAACAGTACATGAACCATGAACTTCCAGATGTTCAAGCTGGATTTAGAACAAGCAGAGGAACCAGAGATTGCCAACATCCATTGGATCATCAAAAAGAGCAAGAGAGTTCCAGAAAACATGTATTTCTGCTTTATTGACTATGCCAAAGCCTTTGACTGTGTGGATCACAACAAACTTTGGAAAAATCTGAAAGAGATGGGAATACCAGACCACCTGACAGCCTCTTGAGAAATCAGCATGTAGGTCAGGAAGCAATAGTTAGAACTGGACATGGAACAACAGACTGGCTCCAAGTGGGAAAAGGAGTATATCAAGGAGGTACATGGAGAAGGCAATGGCAACCCACTCCAGTACTGTTGCCTGGAAAATCCCATGGATGGAGGAGCCTTGTAGGCTGCAGTCCATGGGGTTGCAAAGAGTCGGACACGACTGAGCAACTTCACTTTCATTTTTCACTTTTCACTGTTCTGCATTGGAGAAGGAAATGGCAACCCACTCCAGTGCTCTTGCCTGGAGAATCCCAGGGATGGTGGAGCCTGGTGGGCTGGGGTCGCACAGAGCCAGACTCGACTTAACAGACTAGCAGCTGCAGCAGCAGCAGCAGCAAGACTGTACATTGTCACCCTGCTTATTTAACTTATACACAGAGTACATCATGAGAAACACTGGGCTGGATGAAGCACAAGCTGGAATCAAGATTGCTGGGAGAAATATCAATAATCTCAAATATTCAGATGACACCACCCTTATGGCAGAAAGCAAAGAAAAACTAAAGAGCCTCTCGATGAAAGTGAAAGAGAGTGAAAAAGTTGACTTAAAGCTGAACATTCAGAAAACTTAGATCATGTCATCTGGTCCCACCACTTCATGGCAAAAAAATGGGGAAGCAATGGAAACAGTGACAGACTTTATTTTTCTTGGCTCCAAAATCACTGCCAATGGTGATTACAGCCATGAAATTAAAAGACGCTTACTCCTCAGAAGAAAAGTTATGACCAACCAAACAGCATATTAAAAAGAAGAAACATTACTTTGCCAACAAAGGTCCATCTAGCCAAAGCTATGGTTTTTCCCATAGTCATGTATGGATGTGAGTGTTGGACCATAAAGAAAGCTGAGCACCGAAGAATAGATGCGTTTGAACTGTGCTGTTGGAGAAGACTCTTGAGAATCCCTTGGACTGCAAAGAGATCCAACCAGTCCATCCTAAAGGAAATCAGTTCTGAATATTCATTAGAAGGACTGATGCTGAAGCTGAAACGCCAATACTTTGGCCCCCTGATGTGAAGAACCACTCATTTGAAAAGCCCTTGATGCTGGGAAAGATAGAAGGCAGAAGGAGAAAGGGATGACAGAGGATGAGATGGTTGGATGGCATCATCGACTCAATGGACATGAGTTTAAGGAAACTCCCAGAGTTGGTGATAGACAGGGAGGACTGCCGTGCTGCAGTCCATGGGTTCGCAAAAAGTCACCCTTGACTGAGTGACTGAACTCAACTGAACTGAACTAATATATACCACAACTTGTTTATCCATTCATCTGTCAATGGACAATTAGGCTGCTTCCATGTTCTAGCTATTGTAAATAATGCTGCACTGGGCAATGGGATGCATGTATCTTTTTTGACTTTGGTTTCCTCAGGGTATATGCCTAGGAGTGGGAATCCTGGGTCGTATGGTGGTTTTAGTTCTAGTTTTTTAAGGAATCTCCA